TGAAGCTCTTCAATTGTCATCAGCAATAGCTTTTTGGGAGGCCGGTGTTTGCTGAGACCGCACCAGCCCTTTAGCGGATCGCCCACTGTCATGTCCTGCGCCAACTTCAGACACGCCTCGGCGCTCCCCAAGCAGCGGCTCTTTTACCGAGGGCTTGCGACCTAAAGGCGTCTCTCAATTTCAATACGGGTGATTTCCATTGCCTGGAGCACCATTATAATCGGTGACAATTGTCCCTCTTCCATGTGGTGCATCTTTCTGTACCATCTCCGCAGCGAAGGCCTAATGGACAACCGCAGCAACGTCGTTGTGTCGACTCAGGTATTCTTTTTGTGCCAAAGCAGAGCTCCCCCAGTATGTATTGGAGGGTTTTTCCGGGTTGATTTTAAATGCGGCAGCATTCCTCTACACTCGTATCCCCAATCACAATTCTTTAGTAATTGCCAGTGGAGGTTACTTCGTCCTGAACAGAAACGACGAACCCTACTTTCTCAGCAATGAGGCCAGATTTTGTTTGCGAGGATACTATCGATCCCGTATTTACGGCGTTCCCTTCGAGCTCAGCAGGATACATGACGTGCAAACCCATCTTGATCCACTCGCTCAGACTATCTTCTCTGGTGATACATGTCTTTCAGAGTCCGTTTGATTCAGGTTTAGTTGGATAAAATTGTCCGTGGCACAAATTTCTTCATGAATGAGCGTCGTTTTCTGAAGGAAGACTTTGCGAAGATTGTTTATTTGCTTCGCGCACAAGGACTCAAACTCCAGAAAACCTCTGCCTGCTTCGTTTCGAGGCAACTTTAGAATAGCCATTGAAATGTTGGAATGGGGATGCGATACTCGATGCGAGTGGGCCTAACTTTTCAATTTACCTCCTGCAGTGCAGTTGTCCAGTGAAGAGCACCAAATGTATAGACATCGACAGGTACTGGCCAAGTGTTGATAGCTTATATGCGGTTCTTTACATTTAAGGATTTTTGAGACTCTTTGCAAGACTATTTTTAGTATCGCACATCTTTGCTTAACTTGTTCTCAAAGGTGCATGTTAAATATTTATAGTTATCCCCTTGCTCAAATTATTGTATATTTTTGCCAAACATCAGGATGAGTTTGTCAGGATCAAGAATTTTTGCCCGCTTCACGTGCACTGCAGGGCATTTATCAGTGCCACACTCCACACAAATAGAGTTGCTGAAGTTCAAGTTCAAGCAACGAGGAAAGTTGGTTCCTACCTGTGGCGTACAAGTTGATATTGTCCATGGTAGAACTGATTATTATTGTGGATATAAAGATTGTTTGGCGATTTTATGTCCCATCCCTCAATCTCATAACATTCTGCTGACAAGGTTTAGAGCTAGGGGGAACCATAAGAGACTAAGTCTATTTCCACGAAATTCCTCGTTTTATCCTCACTCCCTTGGTGGTATAGCTTCCTCCAGCTAATGAGACTTTTATGTTTGTACGCAAAGTTGCCGTGCAGTGTTGGATTAAGTTCGCATACTGGGAAGTTTCATTGTAGAGGCGAAGGACATACAAAAGACACGTATGAGGTATCGAGTTGGAGGCCTTGTGATAGGTCGATAGTTACTCGGATCGCGAGACTTGCTTATCATAAATGTAACTCCTTCAGTAAAAGACACCAGAAAGATAGTTGGATAGTTGAGAGCAGCTTGAAACCACCTGGCCACAACCGCTCGAGTACTTGGCAAGTACTTCCTTGAAAAGTTTTGCATTACTTCAGTACCTGGCGTTTTCAAATCCTTCGTCTTCCTGACTGAATTGAGGAAATCTCTCTGTGTAATATTAGGTGAGCATATCTGAGGTATATCGCATTTCTTTTCCTTTTGTGCTATCCAGTAAGCTATACGACCATGGGTCTTGGGGATGCTCCAGATATTTCTCCAATATTCTTCCATCTCTGAGCTTGGAAGAACTGTTTCAGACAACTTTCTTTGATCGTTGAGTTGCATGAAAAACGTCTTGTCGCACGAATAAATCATTCTCTTGTCTTCGTTCCATTGCTTTATGATATCTTCTTAAACAGCACACAAGGGCTGCGATGCCCTTCTTTAGACACTCAAGTCAGTTGCGGAGCCTCCTTGAAATTCGTCTGGATTCTTCGAATTCTCATGTTGCGTCCAATCGCCTTCTCTGCTTTGGACATCTTTCTAGTTGCATTCTCAGGAGCTCTAAAGAAGGCTGTCAGACTCCCGTCGGAAGCTTTCAATCTTGCATTCGCCTAAACCATGGAGGTGTGGTGGGTGAGGCTTGACGGTCTGTACTGTGTCTTTCGACGTTTTCAATTTATCCTTACAGGTTTCCCAGGACCCTGTACTAGAACCAGGGTTGCGCAAGACAGGTACATTACCCAGGGTTGCGCAAGCGCTGTTGGTTGTTCTACATCCACCTTCAGCAAATTATTAAACGTTTCCATCGCCGCATTTGTACGTGGCCATATCCCACTCGTTAGATCCATGGTCTGTAGGATAATGGAATACTATGATAGTACGTTTTCATAGCTTCATAATGCGCAATCCAAGAGAATTGCTCAGGCACTGGGAGGCAGAATTCAACAGAATTCGTTTCCACAGACCATCTCTGATTAGCTTGTGGGTCTTCATTATTTCTTCCTTCATCAGTCTCGTTTCATTTCTCAATACCCAAGGATAGTCTTACATTCTCCCTAATGATATTTATCTCTGCAGCTGAGAGACAATTCCTTACAATGATGGTGCGTTGCTGGTCGCACACTCCATGCTCGGATACCGGTATGTTCGAATGCAGCTATTACCATTCTTCGTGAAATCGCGTCCTGTCCTCCATGTCCGCTTCAAATCTGGTAGCCAAAAAGTACGCATGCAGAATGGTAATGTTTAACTCCTGAGTCCATTTCATGTGCTGGCGTTTGCTCTGAGGTCGGGCGGGATGGGGTGTCGTCTCACCCAAGCTGCGGCCCCCCAATATTTGTCTGTATTGGGTCGCTATAAGTGGTGCAGCGCCACCCCTTCCGGGATGGTATGAGGAGGCTCCACTGCTCTCCATTGGCAGAGGTAGCACATTTCGCAGTGCGAGCTTAGTGGCAGAACTCGCAGCGCCGCCTTGCAAGTGCGGGTCTCATGCGCCACGAATCCTTCGACTTCTTATCATAACTGCTTCTCCATCGGCGGACCGGGTACGAGACGAGTGGAAGCACCTCTCGCCTCTGAGTCAAACCCCCTTCCGCGCACCATCACTCAACCTCTAAGATCGAAGCTGAGGCACCTGCAGCCCGCATAAATATAGGGATGGCTATTTCGGATGCTGTCCCTTCTCCCAGTTATCGGTTGGTCCACCTTTCCCGGAAGTTAGGGGCACAGTTTACGTTCCAGCTTCCAAAAGATCAGGCTCGCGTCCGATTTGGCGGGTTGCCAAGGCCCTGACAGCCGACACGCAATAGTACTTTTGCCCGTGCCCCTCGTGCCGTAGCTGTTCTTTCAGTCCACGTAGGGTTGGTCTTCGGGGAACGTAAAAAAAGGGTGAAATGAATAGGGAATATTTTGAAAACAATCGGGAAAACGGGTAAGGGACAGTTAAGGTTACATTTTGGGAATGGAACGTGGGGAACAGCGAAAAAAGGAATGCAGAATGAAAATGGATAAATTTTAGACGGAGGGACCGCGGACATCTGCTCGGTTCTCTAAATAAATCAATTGACAGATATGACTTATTCGTCACGATTTCGTCATGCATTTTCGACACTAGCTAGAGATTTATGTCAAATTCAGCCGCTCTCCGAAGAAAAATTCTAGCGGTCGATTTCTTTGGTCTGTAGTTTTCTGTGGTTTCTCCGATGAACACTAGAAGAATGCTGTAGCAGTACTTTAACAAAAGAGGCCATGGACCGCGCGCGTTCTTTCCTTCCTCTTGTCCTATTGGCCCTCCTTACTTACTCACATACACTACACTATCACATTCGTCGGGAGTCAAGAGCTTAATGGTCGTTAAGGCTGGGGCGATGCCGGCGGTTCCGCGTTCGTGGGAGGTGTCTGGTTGGGGAAAATTCTCGCAAGCCGACATAGGTCTACGCCTGATCTAACCCGCCAATGGGGGAAGATCACCGCCAACACCAGCGATGAAAGTCTGCACACACTTACAGAAGAAATGCCCTAGCAGCTGAAGCACCCTGAGTCGCTAATGAAAAAATGAAGCTCATGTCGTCGTGCTAGGCGCGAAGAGATCGTTCGCATCGTTTCGATGCACTTATCCTAGGTAGATCGTCACCGCCGGGCCCCTCGCCCAACTGCGTAGATTGAGAACGGCCCGCTCGCGCGGAGCACGCTTCTTGTGCGCTGAGGCAAGTTAAGATAAAGCCGCTTTAGCCATCGCCGACCCAATTTTTGACACTGAATCCTCTCTGGAACGTTTTTATCGTTCGGAAAATGGAAAACATAACCTAATGTGAGACCTGATGACTATGCAAACTAACATGGAATTTTTTGTACTCTACTGGCTTTTTTTGCCAGATCAATCCTTTTACTGCGAGATATCGTTTTCCATCGTTGACTTTCTTGTCTCATTTGAATTCAATGGCAGCAAAACAAAACTTTCGAATTTTCAAAAATAAAACTTTTTTTCGAATATCATATGCTTTGATGATATTTTTCTAATAAGTATCGTCCGAATATTGCGTTTACAGTCTGAATCAGAATCTTGGAACTGGAGGTTGTAATGGGTGAATTCAGGAAATCAGATGAGAGAACCCGGGATATTTTCAAAAAAATCAAATTGAAAGGATGGGAAGCTTAAGCATTTTAAATTATTGAACCAGCTTGTTTATTGTTAATATATTGTTGCACTATATTTGACTAAATGTTAACTGCTTAAAAAATCTGTTTTTATTTACTAGAAAGAGAAACACAAAACTGCCTGTTTTTTTAGTAATTGCAATCGCAACCTTCATTCTCTTTTGTATTACTAATATATTAGCAATGTTTTTAATGCCATTTCTCAATTCTTAGGAGACTGGAACAGAATCAGGTCACGGAGATCTCTGCAAAAGCATTTTTTCCGTATAAGAGGATGAGTCGCATGTAAGTACTTTGGCAATTAGGGAAAGTTGTAAAATTAATATAGATTGCTTAACAGTTTTATGCATCTTCTTTTGGTTACAGAGATCTCAGCAAGAATCAGATAACAAAAATTGCAGCTGATGCATTTCAAGGTCTAACATCTCTAACATCATTGTAAGTATATTATTATATTGTTCAGATTACTACTTTCCTGAATATTTTCATACTTAGAATTTCTTAACAAGTCCTTTTTTGCAGATATTACAAGAAATCTAACATATAACCTTTTTTTCTGTAACTTGACTGTAATACGCGAAGATCGCGTTCTTGCTCTGCCTTCTCGCGTGCCTCAGCTCGCCAGCGCCTGATCTTTCTTACCAGTTTTGTACTAATTAAGAACTCATTTATACCCAAATTTTAAAAAAATTGAACTGATGCATAACATCAAAACATACCATTTTCAATTGTGGGGACACTAGTATGACGTCAAGTCACCATCCCCTCCTACAGAAAACGCATGGATCAAACTAAAAATGCCGTATTTTTGAATAAGTTAAACAATATGTGTCTTACCATGTCAAATCACTCACCCACAAAATATCACCTTTTAAGCGACTTGAAAATATTTTGTGAGGTCCAGGGTTGAAAATAGGTGAGATGTATTTTTTTCTATTCCCACCCTTTTCAGAAATGTTAACAATTAATTTTTGGAAGATTCTTGCGCGCGCAAATGTTGACATTTTGCGCAAATACTGCTTCCTTCTGAAATATATAATTACCCTTAAATTTAAATTAAAATGGTGTAAATATAATTTCATATGGTGTAGATATAATTTTTGTAAACATATTATTTAAATTACACATATTTAAAATATATTGTAATTGTTAACATGAACATTTTTACATTCGGTCGATACCTAAATTAATTGTAAAAAATTCTCATGTGTTTCAACACTAATATTGTATAGATCTGCCAGATTTGAAAGTGGGACACAAATAACATTAAAACAATAGTTCCTTCACCGGAGCACGTAGGTACCTACACTTGCCCGCCGGACTCCAGCCGGACGAAACTACGGGGCGTCAAGGACATGACGCATCGTGACGACCAGACCTAAAGCAGCCATGAGTCTTGTCATGTTATGTATCGAAGAAACATATACGGTCTCAAATAGAAGTTTCCTGACGAAATGCGATTATTCAGTTTATTTATAAACAACTGGCACTGCTAGGATCTGCCTGAAACAGGGCAGCCTTCTTTCTCAGATATACTGAGTCAGATGTGTACACAGAGGGGGCCGCGAAACATGTGCGTTGTTCCGTGAAGTTACTAACCACAGATAGACTTACAATAATATCAATTTTATTGTTATTTGCATGTTCGTAGTATGAAAATATATAATTGTAGAGCATAAACGAAAAGGCTGGGTGCCAATATGTGAAAATTCTCATTTTGTGCTGAAAAGCGTGGTGTCAAGCGCAATGCGGTGTAAAATGAGCTATATGAAATTCTCATTCTTAGGAGTGCAAATTGTCGCCTCTAGATTGCGCATCAATCAAATCCCGCAAGCTTTTGAAACAGTTTTTCGTAATTATCTCTTGAATTCCATTTTTGGCACAGCACGGTTTTCTCTTACTGTCTACAATTGGAGAACGTTAGGTTGTTGCAAGCAGCATTCTTGAAAAGTCGAGGGCATACTTGCGTAATCATGCATTTCCCTGTCTGGTATTTTGTAAATGCTATTAATAACTCTTATTTCCATTCATAAGTTATAAGTCCATTTAGATCTCTCTGCTTCTGTACCTTTCAAGAACATTTTGTTTGAACTCCTTGTGGGTGGTTGGGAAACGGGCACATGATTCCGCCCAATCTCTCGCGTTACCCTCTAACATTAAATAAAGCAGTTGTTTTTTAGTCTTCTCACTCACGCACGTGACTGGTAAATATCGTTCAACTGCACGTGAAAACGAGAATGGATTTGCTTTACAATCCCTTCAAACTTCAGCGATGCGGGAATTGCCGGGTGGAGGAGTCCGCCTTCCATTACGGTTGATATCCTGCATTTCTTCAACGCGTCTACGTCACTTTTCAACACGCTGACTGCTTCTTCGCAACACTGCTTCTTGCTCTTGATTTCCTATCCCCAAGACTCTAGAGATGCATTTATTCGGTCTTCACAGGTTCGTATTTCGATGGTAACTTATTTACATTGGGCTACTTTGGAATTCGCAGTGGAGGCTACCCAGGTCACTTGGTATTGTACCATTTCTATAACTTCAGGCTATTTTGAGAACTTTCGTTCGAATTTATCTTCCAGCATCGGATACATTTCTTCTCCTACCTTCTTTATTTGCTGTTGCAACATTTCTTCCTGCTCCTCGAGTTTGCCATTTATAAAATAGTTCTGGGCTTGAAATTTCTCTCTCAATCCTCTTATCTGAGTGGCGATGGCACGGTTGTGTTCCGCCATTTCATTTCGTCATTTGTTGTGTTCATTGTCATGGTTGTGTTCATTTAATTTCATCGAACATGGTCATGTTATTTTCTCCCGTCGTACGCATAAAAGCGCGAACAAGTTCGTATTTTGGGATGGCGCGCCCCTTTCTGATTCGTCCGCCAGGCTTAATCCCATTGATGACGCGGTTGCGACTGTATCCTCGGGTTCTTTCATTTTGGCAGAGTCATAGAGCGACAATTCCGCTAATTTTTCTAAGAGCTTAAGAGTCCACCATGTCCATCTTCCTCGTCGCTAGTCGAATCCTTCCTACTGTCACGATACTCCTATGTGCCTAATATTTCTTCTGTTTTCAGCCATTTTATACAAAAGGCAACAAAAAATCCACCAGAAAAGTAACAATCCTATGCATAGCTCACTCTGCGTACGATCCCTTGTACTATCCTTATCCTCTATTACTGTCCCTAACTCACCACCCACTATTCAATAATGATTCACTATCCCGAACTCACCACAACTCAATGTCAGTGTCAATGTCAATGGCACTTGACTCTTTCTGAAAGGTGCTGTCAATTAAATTGGAGTTTAATTGCCATCCTTCCCGCAAAAGCGCCGTCATTACAGGATACTGGCAGGGTCGCTAATGTGACATCACTTTCGTGACCCATCGGGACGTGATCGTGCAATCTATTTACTTTTTCCGTTCGCGAGTAAAGAATGGATCCAGGTCGGGCTCCTGTTGAAAGTCACGATGCAGTAACAGAAACAATCACATTTATGTCTTGTTTCAACTACATACAAACCTAAAAAAAAAGAAAACTAAAGAAGCAACGCAATGGGCGGCCTCTGCGTTGCGAGCTGCCTGCTTCACCGTCTCTTCGTTCGTAAATTTCATTTTTAATTATGATGATCACTCGTCCACTTCGCAACTATACACTACGGCTCTTCACTGCTGTTCATAAATGGAAAAGAAAATGGTACACTTCCATCTTCTGTCAGGGATTTTCAAGTTGGTGGCAGCACGTGGCTCTATGAAGTGACTAACTTTGCAATAAGTATTAGCAGTCGGCACTCCAGATGTGCATTTTGTTAAAGTTTAGGAAATTTACATTCATAGAAGTGTCAAAAGTATTTCAAAAATTATTACCTTCTTCTTTTAGTACGTGTTTAAATAGGGATTTTCTTAACAGTAAAGAATATGAGAAAATGTCTCCCTATCTATTATTTGATGAATTACTCGAAATATTACATTGAAAAGATTTAAGCATTCATTCCCTTGCCATGTTTTTAAATGATGGCTTGTTTCTGCCATAACATACTGAGTTCGATTCTTGTAAGTTCAAAAATGTCCTTTATTATTATCGCCCTTCGGCTACAATTTTTCTTTATTTTGTTCTTTTGATTATCGTTGCTTTGGAATTTCAGTAGAAGAAACTTCAATTCAAATGAACAAATGGTAAAACAAATCACTCATTCTCATCATTAATGTTAATGTTTGTTCGTATGTTCTTCTTGTCAAGACCATGGATTGTTGTAGTTGCACCTCTATCCTACATGACCATCCCTCTCAGACTCCTCTCTCCATGAAATTGTCGACGCCGCGAAGGCCTCCTTCCCCGAAGGCGAGAATTGCAAGGGTACAACAGCAAACTGAGCCAGGAACAGGAACATCGCGGTGGTGCCCAATGAATAATCGTAGTAAAAAATAGCGATTATCCTTTTCCACGTACACTTCACTTTTACTTACACATTTTACTGCATTAAATACACTTTTTTATATGTACACTTCACATTATTTATATTCAGACACATTCGTCAGATTTATTGCTGTATATCTATGACTGTTGTATTTTGTCAGAAGTATTATTTGTAAGGCATTTTCTTTTTTTCAGAGTGCTCTATGGAAACAAAATAAAGGACTTACCAGCTGGAGTTTTTTATGGATTAACATCTTTGCAGTTGCTGTACGTATTTCTTCCGTAAGGTTTTTTTGTGGTATTTGTGAGTTAATCTTAATTAAAACTCATGGTAGAATGTTTAAAAATTTAGTTAGCGATAAGCTTTGTCGATTCTCATGTTGTAAAAGGTGCTTTTTCTTCTGACTGGTTCTGCACATGAATCGGAAACATGTCTTTATAATTTTCTGTACTTGCAAAAATTCGAGAAAAATACTTCCTTAGAATCTGCTTTGCTAGACGTTTGATACAGGAAACTTCTTTCATTATGTACATAAAATTTCGAATGGATATCATTGCGTATTAAGTGCATTATTACAGAGACCGCGCTACTGGGAAGATTGTGACTGAATCCGTCTTTTCTTAACACAGCTAGAAATGGAGATACGAGTTTTTAATTTCACACATTCTCTTCTTTCCTTGCATTGTCGCACGAGAGCTTTTTAACTATGTGCTATGTAACTAACCATGGTTTTGAAATCCCCCAACTCAGAGCCATGGCTCCCATCAAGATGTTAAGACGAGGTTCCATTATTTCCGACTAATCGCAAACTATAGCAACCGCGATCCAGGAAAAATTGTTTGGCTGCTACCTGCAGACTCAAATGAAAGAAGATTGTGACCACCATAATCGACCAGGAGGAGTATTTGAAGAAGTATTGTAGTGATGTTGTGTTGAGTGTTCAATACATGAAGGTAAGGAAACTATATTGTTAATCTCTTGTTGCTAAAAATATAAGTTTAGCCCTAAGTTATTTCAAAATGCTCTATTTTGTAAAACAATGCACATTTTCAGCAAATATCCAGTTTTGACGTACCAAAGGAAACAAATTGTTTATTAGAAAAGGAGGAGGCAAGTGGAATAATTGTGGAGGAGTTACATTGCTCCACGTCATGGAACACATGACGCTCCCAATTACAAGGTTAGTGGAATAACGGTTGCAAGGAATGGTACACCAAGTAATGCATGGTGTCAATTTTACTTTCTCGCCCTTCATAAGGAGAGAAGCTATTATAATCGTGCGCCGAAAAATGGCGAATTTTCGACAGAAAAATTATTTTTGTCGGGTCCGGGTATTGAAAAAATGAATAAATCATGTTGTTATATAGTATAGTAAACGTGGTGTCGCCACAATCCGTGTGTTGTGGGTCTTGATACCGAAAATTCTCTTGACGGAAAAACGTCTTGTCAGTCAGTCAGTCAGTCAGTCAGTCTCTCCGTCCGTCAGTGAGGAGCGAATTCAGACGATCATTCTGAGGGTGCCAACATAGAGTTTTGTTAAATAATAAACATTTTTTATTATATTGTGCATTATTTTGTAGTGTATGTATGATACTACACTATACGATATATTTTAAGTAATTAATTCTAACATAAATATTTTAATCATTTTTGCTAACAAAAGGTAACAAACGAAAACTGTAGGCAGTAAGTGTCTAGGATATATTGACAGTTTGTATTTTAACATTTATTAGCCAATTTAAAATACAAACTGTCTATAAATAAATCCTGGACCATTCTCGTATTATGAGTTATACCGACAGTCTAGGAAACCTACCTGAAAACTCAAGGCCTCTGAGGGAAGGACTATGGCTCTGAAGCGCCCCCCCCCCTTCCCCTGAAACCGCCAATGCCATCAGTCTGTCCGGCTATCCATCTATCTGTCCTGTGGTCAACGCTAGCGCCTAAACCGTTCAGCCGATTATCTCCGAAATTGATATTCCTTATCGATATGAATGAACTCGAGACTTTCGGAGTTTCAATCAGATATTTTGATTTTTGAGTGTACTTTACAAGAAGCCTCAAAACATTTTCAAACTTTTCTCAAAAATTAAAAAAAAAATACTAACGCAACTACAATACTTGTAACAAGGGTTGTATCTAATAATATACAGACTAAAAGATTTTGTGATACACTTGGTCTTCGTCAAAGATCACTTTAGTTCGTATAACTCCCCAGTATATAATTTCCCACAAAGAACAGAAATCCACCGACCACGTTTGAACGCCGCACAGACACAGACAGGCGCAGAATGGCTAATCGAGCACTGAACACTAATATACTAAGAGAGCAAAAAGTCTTCCAACTCTCTTTGAATACTATTTATCTCCCAGGAGATACGATTCCTCATCGATACCAGAGTCTTGACCCTGCTCTCTCGCGGAGACTTCGAAAATCTCTTGTGACGTCATGTCCCCGGAGAGAAGATCGCTCTCCTGAGAGTTTACACATGTCTCCTAACCAGTTCCGGAAAGTTAGAAGAGAAAACTCTCTCCGTGTAAACGCGCCTTTAGGAGACTTGGTCTCTTCGTGTAAACGCGCCTTTAATGTTCACATCACGATGCAGTCGGTCTATTCGCATATAAATAGAGAAGACGACCACATTGCGCAGTATTGTATTCTGGATTCTCTGTATTTTCTGCACATGAATATTCCAGGCACAAGCCCAAAGCTGTATGCCATACATCCATATTAGTTTTAGCACTTGTTGGTAATGTATTAGTAATTTATTATAAACGGACAACTGAGATTCTTCCCAAATAACCTCTACATTTTATTGTTTTTCAAATTGAGTTCCGCGTTCTTTATTTGACGTGCTCCTTCCAGCGCAGCTTTGAATCCAAAGTCATACCCAAATATTTCGCTGTATTTGCTACTGGAACGACTCTGCCATTGATTCTTATTGGGAGTACCTCACTTTTACGATTGGTAAAATTTACGGGGTGCGTCTTGGTCTCATTGAGTTTTATGCGCCATTTTTAAGCTCATTCTGCATCTTTGTTACAATCTGTAATTTATTTGTTACCAGTGGGTAACTAGGTGTGTTATCTGCTAATGTTGGTATTGTTGTTCCTCTATAACTTGGTATATCACTAACAGCAAGTAGAGAATGGGTCCTAGTGCGCTTCCTTGAGGGACGCCTGCTTTAATTTCACGGAATGTGGTATAAGCATTTTCTTGCTTAACTTTAAATTATCTATGTGATATTTATGACTGAAAGAGTAAATTAATGATTTTGGTAGTAATTTAATAATTTGAGCTCCAGACCATCATGCCAAACTTTATCGAAAGCTTGCACAATGTCTAAAAATTAGCTGATCGTATCCTTTTTTTCTAAACTTTTTTCAATGACATCTGTAATACGGTATACTTGATCGATAGTTAAATGTTTTTCTCGACGTCCGAATTGAAGAGAGGGGATTATGAAAAATATATTTTCGAAAGGCTTAGAAAACACTGGAAGCAAAGAGATGGGCTTGTAAGAGTATTTCTTCTGGTGGTTTTCCTGGTTGGGAATCATGAAATTGCTTCGGCACGTATTTCAGCCGAAACGAAGCATTAAATGTATGTTTTATTACTCCTTTTCTTGGCAGTTCTTTTAATATTTTCCCTGAGATAATATCATAATTAGGTGCGTTTGGAGCAACATATTTTATTTAACACTGTACATCACTATCAACTGGGGTGACATCCTCATCTGCTATTGGACGAGAAAAATGTTGAATGTGTTTTCTAGGTAATCAGCATTTTTTTCCTTGTTCTCCCCATGTGAGGTCGGATTTGCGCAGTGGTGGTGATAGTAGAAAAGGCTCTTCATTTTCCTTGTGGCTTTCCATAAGCAATACTCCGATATTTTATCGGCAGCAAGTTGTTCTAATTAATTGCTGATAGATTCCTCTTTATGATTCCTTATTGCTGCTGTTACTTCATGAGTAAGATAATTCAGAACATTATCAGATGGATAGTGTGTCATTTGCCATACTTTTCGTGCCTAAAACTTTTTCTTTAATTTCCCTTGGATAATTATTACCCATGAGAGGTTTCTCAATTTTTGGAGTATATTGCTTTACTTTTTCTTGAACCTATTTTATGAAGTACTCCACTTCTTTATTCAATTCCTCTTTCGTTTTCAATGGAATATCAGTAAGATTGTTTCGTCTAGATTTTCTTTGAACGCTTGCCACTTTGTAAATTGGTTACAAATATTGGTTGAAGGGTTTTCCTAATTATAGTTTTACTTAGTGGTAGTATTACCACAATTTAGTGTAATAGTTGCGAAGCTTCTTATCATTTTTTTTCAACCAGTGCGACCTCAGCGCTCCCAGTGGCGAGCAAGAGGCACCATTAATTCGTTGAAGTGTGACATATTTGCAGGCACATATTTACACGTGGTTTACTTAATGGTATGTGATAGCGATACAATGTTGCTGTTGAGAGTTGAATATTATTTATTATCTGCCCTTAGCTCATTTGCCAATGATAAATTGTGACTGGTCACATGTACGTCCTGATACATTAAAAATGCCAACATACGGAAATGCCTATAGTGCTATAAATTGTAGCAACAATCAAAAGAATTCGCCAAATGTATCCTTCTTTAGGTTTTCAAAGATACAGAAAGGAAAGCGTTAACAAAATTGTACATGAATGCTATTTCAAAGCTTGTATACTTTTTGTACTTTCGGCGGCTAAATAATTTTTGATGTTAATAAAGATTCTGTCAGCTAATAAATACCATGTAAATCTAGATTTATGCTATTTTATGATTTTAAATTTATTATCATTAAAATCATAATTATTTTCTAAATATCATTGTAACTTCTAGGTGTAGAACCCCCGTCTCAATATGTTTTTCGTGCCGTTTTCTTTGATTCATAGACCAAATGCTGAGATGATCCCTTGTTTTGTTTCTGCACAGTACATGTGGATTGTATTCTCTGTCTTTGACAGTAATAAATTTGTATTATATGGTAAATGGTATTTTATGGTATGAAATGAGCGTTTTCTTATATATACAGCACAAATTTTCAGATGTAAGCACATGCCTACGTGCTGTTTTAAACATGTTCTAAAATTTTAAGTATTAAAATTATGAATTCGTAAGTAGTCTTCTGTTATCTTTCACAGTCTTAAAGACAGACGCTTATTGCTGGTCACCTGGGGCGCTAGAGTCAAACCGATGAATTCTCCTCCCATTAGAGCTTCGCAACTGTTATACCGAACTGT